AAAGCCCGACTTGCGTGTACAAATATAGCTACGGCTGGAACCCAGACTTCGTAGCTGTATTACTTCGAAATCTAACTTGTGTTTATAATAATATCGCTATCGCTTTGAAAGCCCGACTTGCGTGTACAAATATAGCTACGGCTGGAACCCAGACTTCGTAGCTGTATTACTTCGAAATCTAACTTGTGTTTATAATAATATCGCTATCGCTTTGAAAGCCCGACTTGCGTGTACAAATATAGCTACGGCTGAAACCCAGACTTCGTGGCTGTATTACTTCGAAATTTAACTTGTGTTTATAATATATCGCTATCGCTTTGAAAGCCTGACTTGCGTGTACAAATATAACTACGGCTGAAATCTAGACTTTGTGGATGTATTACTTCGAAATTTAACTTGTGTTTATAATAATATCGTTAACGCTTTGAAAGCCTAACTTGCGTGTACAAATATAGCTACGGCTGAAATCCAGACTTCGTGGATGTATTACTCCGAAATCTAACTTGTGTTTATAATAATATCGCTAACGCTTTGAAAGCCTAACTTGCGTGTACAAATATAACTACGGCTGAAATCCAGACTTCGTGGATGTATTACTTCGAAATTTAACTTGTGTTTATAACTATATCGCTATCGCTTTGAAAGCCTGACTTGCGTGTACAAATATAACTACGGCTGAAATCCAGACTTCGTGGATGTATTACTTCGAAATCTAACTTGTGTTTATAATAATATCGCTAACGCTTTGAAAGCCTGACTTGCGTGTACAAATATAACTACGGCTGAAATCCAGACTTCGTGGATGTATTACTTCGAAATCTAACTTGTGTTTATAATTATATCGCTATCGCTTTGAAATTGTATCTATAAATATAAACAATTGTATATTATAGCTTGTAAGTTATCGCCAATTTAGGAATTTAAATAGAATAAAGAAATTATTTGAATTGAAGGAAAAGAAAGCGTTTAAAACTTAAACTGAAACAGTCGAAAGGTAACCATCAATAAGTAAATAGACATTTTCTTGTAAGGACCCTGGCTGTGGCTGAGCTATCCCAGCTCTAGACACCCTCATTATAAGGAGGTTCATTACAGTACTGATACTGTGCGGAAAATTTTGAAGAAATGCATTTATTATACCCTGGTTGCAGGAAAAAAGCCATACATATCCAAATTTAATAGAATAAAATGATTAAGCTTTACAAAAAAGCATGTAAATGAAGCTATGGAGCTCTGAAAATGAGTTATTTTCTCCTATGAGAGTTAATTTTACATATCTAGATCAAAGGTAGAAAAATTGTGTAAAGAAAATCATATATGGCCTATTATAAATAAAACTTAATTTCAACGGTGAAACATGGTGGTGGAGGCGTAATGGGTTGGGGGTGTATAGCAAGTAATGTGCCTGTAAACTTGAATTTATACAAGATACAATGGACAAATTTGGGTATCTAAATATACTAAAAACAAATTTGAAAGAAAATGACAGAATGTAAGAGCTTGAGGCAACATTTCTGTTGCAGCAGGACAAGGACTCTAAGCATACAGCAGCGATTGTACAGATTTGGATGATATACTGTGCTCTCAGGCAACTTCAAACACTACCAGAATCACCAGACCTTAGTCCTATAGAGCATCTGTGAGTTCATTTGGAAAATAAGATTCGCCAGCACATTATTTCCAGTAAGGATATGTTAAGAAACGTCATAAAGGAAAAATGGCTAAAAATAAACGCACAGGATACTGCAAAGCTGGTTGAGTCTATGCAAGGATGCTTAAAATAGATAATTTAAGATTTAATTTCTGTGAATATTAATTGTTTTAATGTAAATATTAAGAAATATCCGTACACTTTTTCTGCTTCAAAAATAGCTACTTTTGCATATAATTAAGTTTTTTTTTTTAAGAATAACTGTTTATTTTTTATGTTAGAACTTTATTGTTGTTTCTTTGGTTAAAATAAATCAAAAAACAAAAATCAATTTGAGTAAAAATTAAAAAAGTTATGCGTAATTTAAAGAAAATTTTGTGAATATCCGTAAACTTTTTCTGGTATGTGTATATATTCAATATCTCAATTATTTGCAAACCATTTAAGTAAACTTAAATTGCTAGAGTCCTTTCACTTCATTTAGTTTTGTTCTATCACTTATTTGATTTATTCAACGTGATTATGTATTAAATTATACTTTTAAGGTATTTTGGATGGTTTCATTCAACTAAAAAACAAAGACTATATCAAATAAACAAACATTTCAAATAATATATACAAACTGAAAAAAAAAAAAATTTCAAATCAAAAAATAATTTCACGATTTTACGAATTTTTTATAATCCATATAAACAAAATTAAGGCGCACCAAAATTCACAATAAATTGCGGTTAGAAAAAACTAAAAAGTATATATTGTAATACCCCTCCCAAGATAAATAATAAAGATACTGGCATATGGGAATTAAAATAACAAGTACAATAAAAAGTTATAAAGTTAAGTAAAAAAAAGATATACACTAAAAAAGATAAACTAAAATCATAAACAGAAACTTTTCAAAAGACTTTAGTACTTTTACATTAACTCATTTTAAGATAATAGCTAACGGTAATAGTTATTCATAGCTAAAACAGACTTTAGTGTAATGCAACAATATTTTGGATTATGTATAATAAAAAGTCTTAACATTACAACAATGTAATAATAATTATTATTATTATAATTTAATTACAACTTTATGTTAATCATATTATTACCAAAAACATAGAAATATAAAGACACGTAATTTGCCTGTGTTAAAAAAATCATGAATTCTGAAAAGGTACACGCAATGGGAAAAACATGTCTGTTCAAACGTATAAACAATCGAACTTATTATTTTATGTATGATCAATGCTACTTTGTTAGTGAAGTCAGCAATCAAACCAATAGCGAATATGTTGTATTTTGCTTGGACAAAATCATATAGAAAAAACTCTAATATCAGAGCAAATGCACACATAGCTTCTAGTTCATGCGTATGTAAGTTTCTTGGTAACTTTTTTCTACTCTTCTTTTTATTGCACACTTACTAAATATAAATATGCATGGGTAGGTGAGACAATATTTTTGAATGTGATGCTTGGATTTTGTTTGTGTGCTTTTTTTTTCTTAAAATATATGACTGGCTTCGTGTGCATGAAATGCACAAGTTTTCCAAATTATTTAAAATTTGATTTTTGCTGAAATTTTATACTGGCTTCATACTAATATATGATGTTTGCCTATGACATGATGAGAAAACACCCGAGTAGCGCAACCATAGTTGTTATTAGTGTAAATGCTCTTAATATGTTTGGCTGTAATTGATTATGTTTTATATATTAATTTTTTATTGTTATATTCTTATATTAAATACACTAGAATTATTAACTAAATTTTATTACTTAAATCATAAAAAATAAAATTATAAACTTAATATAACTTAATTATTCAAAATAGATATATTAACTAATTTTAATTACATATTATTTATAACTGTTTAAAATAAGTTTATTTATAATAGGGTGAATATTTTTGTTTCATTGTTAATTTTTCTAAGCATTTATAAATAGTATATTTTTTATATAAAATTCAAATTTTTAAAATTGTTTTTAATATGCTGGTAAATTGACAACGTTTTAGGTTAAAAAAAACCCTCAGTACTGCCATATAAATGGCATTGAAGATATCATAATAAAGTTATTAAAAATTAAAATTATTTATTAATTTGATATAAGTTATTGAAAGTATTAATTAATATAATTAAGTTAATGTTTTACACCCAAGTTCAAATTTTTACAATTCCTTTAATTTATTGTTAAATTTTACACTATTTTGGTATTTTTTAAATAGCAAAATTTCGTTGTGGCACCCGTAAATCGGATCCTTAAATCAATTTTTGTTATATACTTTTTTCATTTCTTTTTTTTATAATGTTTGCTAAGATTTCTTTAATACCATTTAAATGGTATTCTTTTTTGAAAAAGAAAGTAATAAAATAAAAAATTTTTAAATGAATAATCAATTCAAAAAATTGATGCTATGCCAACATTAAATTTAGGAAGTATACAAAAGCATTATTGTTTATTTATAAATTTATATAAAAAATATACTATATATAAATGCTTAGAAAAATTAGCAATGAAACAAAAATATTCACCCTATCATAAATAAACTTATTTTAAACAGTTATAAATAATATGTAATTAAAATTAGTTAATATATCTATTTTGAATAATTAAGTTATATTAAGTTTATAATTTTATTTTTTATGATTTAAGTAATAAAATTTAGTTAATAATTCTAGTGTATTTAATATAAGAATATAACAATAAAAAATTAATATATAAAACATAATCAATTACAGCCAAACATATTAAGAGCATTTACACTAATAACAACTATGGTTGCGCTACTCCGGTGTTTTCTCATCATGTCATAGGCAAACATCATATATTAGTATGAAGCCAGTATAAAATTTCAGCAAAAATCAAATTTTAAATAATTTGGAAAACTTGTGCATTTCATGCACACGAAGCCAGTCATATATTTTAAGAAAAAAAAAGCACACAAACAAAATCCAAGCATCACATTCAAAAATATTGTCTCACCTACCCATGCATATTTATATTTAGTAAGTGTGCAATAAAAAGAAGAGTAGAAAAAAGTTACCAAGAAACTTACATACGCATGAACTAGAAGCTATGTGTGCATTTGCTCTGATATTAGAGTTTTTTCTATATGATTTTGTCCAAGCAAAATACAACATATTCGCTATTGGTTTGATTGCTGACTTCACTAACAAAGTAGCATTGATCATACATAAAATAATAAGTTCGATTGTTTATACGTTTGAACAGACATGTTTTTCCCATTGCGTGTACCTTTTCAGAATTCATGATTTTTTTAACACAGGCAAATTACATGTCTTTATATTTCTATGTTTTTGATTATTACAATCACAATATTTCTTATGTTAAAAACTTACATTCACGCATATCTGCTTTGGTGGTTTGTTTACATTGTTCCATCGCCATTGCACTGTTTTTAATTTCCGCCAAACGTAATTGATATTTATCACATAAAGAGGTGTGAGATTTTATTATATGTTTTATAATATTTATCATAGTTTCGGTCATAGATATTCCAAAATTAGCTATTGGTTTTTTTTGCCAAATACGTTTAATGATTTGTATTGCTAAACGATGCATTTGAATTAAATAAAATATTGGTTCAAACTGAACAGATTCTTGCGAATGAGGAAATCTTTTTGATATAGAGTAGGGTGATTCCAAAATAGATCTTGGATTAATCATTTTTTCTAATAATTGTAACCAAGCATCCAAAAATTCTCCAGTACTATCAGGAAAATCTTTAACATCATATTCACTATTTTCTAAAATATTTTTTTGTGTACAACATTGTTCAAAAGAGAAAAATGAAGATTGGCAATTCAAAGATAATGCCCAAAAAAACATATCAAAAAACGCTTTAAGTCCGTTTTCTTCACAGAATTGAGATATCATCAAATGAAATGAGCTCCGTTTATCATCAAATAACATAGGCCCTGTAAACCCAACGGAACATATAAGAAAAGTAAGTTTTAATTTTGGAACAGATTCAGATGTTTCACGAGTAAGTCCGTTGACTAAAATAGAACTCAGAACGCGGGCAATTTCTTTAGCATCATGTGTTGGATATTTGCTGCTAGAAATACTAGTAACATAATCGTTATTCCGTCGTTGTCGTGATTGCGGAGTCCCAACTGATAGTTTCACTAAAGTTCCAAAAAGTTCTGCAAGGGCGCGACCTAAGCGGGACGACGCCGCTAAAAGAGACTTTACGTAACGTAATTTCTCTTCCGGTTTCAGCTATAAAAAAATCGTTTACATCAAATTATATCACATTCTTTTGTAAACATTTGGTACATTATGTTACTTACTTTTGTTTTGATGAAATTTGTTTTTAAGGAGAATTCACCACAATCCTTAGTATGTTCGTTACTTAAGCAGTAGTTTTCCCAACAATTCAAATCAGCATTGTTACTTCCATCATCTGAGCACAGGCTAAGTAAAATTGTACTCTCCCAAACTAAGGATATGTATAATTTTACTAAATTTTGTAGTAAATAAAGACCCTTTTCACAATTACTGCCCCACCGTTTTAATAACATTGATCGCATTTCATTTGAAGAGTTGCGACATAAATTCACTAACATGACTACATAACCATGAACAGAGCTCATCCTGTGAAGCAATGGTGTATAATTAGCTATTGAGAAACCATCGTCTATTTTAGGGCAATTGATTAATTCTGTTAAAAGCACACTAACACTTTGAAAACGGAAATGTTCTGTTAGTGGTGTTAATTTATTCATTATCGATGACAATTGTTGAAGCGCTGAATCAATTACTAGAGTTTCGTGTGTCAAATTTAAAATCGATTTACAAACATTTGCTACAGCTTGTGCAGTAGTAGTAACTGGTGAGTCAACAGGTAAATTAGGCAAGGAAAGCATACGTAATAAAGGATTTAAACCACCATGTAAGACAAATTCCTTACAATATTCTCCATTGGAACTATTACTGAAAATTGCCTCAATAAATTTCATAACATTTATAATATAATCAATAAGCGGAATAGCTTCTCGTTCATATAAGTTACAAACTGATTGTTCTCGCTGATTTATCATGGATGAACGATTTTGAGATTGAATATTGTGTTGAGACGTAGAAGACATTTCTTCATCGTCATCGTCATCTTCAGCACTACTTTCATTTTGATTCTCAGTAGCTTCAAGTAAACAACCAGCATCGTTTTGGGTAGTATTTGCAACGTCCATTGTAAATCTATTATTTTGACTGGTACTCTGAACCGAAGTGATTTCTTTATTAGCTCGCCAACAAATAAAGTGTGATTCTGTCCCTAAGCGAACTAACTCATTAAGAAGTCGTACGATTGCTTCTGTTGCATCACTTCTAAGGTACGGATGATGTTTCATTAAATCATCCATAGCGTTTCCTAAATTTGTTGCAGTGTCTCCTAAAGGATCTGAAGAACGACGTCTTCGCATAGCAATCAAATAATTTGGTGACAAAAGTACTTTCAACAGTTTGTCAAACGGATTGTAAGACATAAATTCAATTAGACCTCGTTCGTTAAGGCATAATGCAGAAAATACATTAGGCAAAGATCCTAATACCTCTCTTGTTGCTGGTACATCTTTTTGCAATAAAGATCGTAGTATAACATTAGTAATTCCTAAATCCTGTAGCGAAGATAATAATGATGGTTCATTAAACACATAAACTGTAACAACATCTGTCGCAAGAAGAAATAATGATGGTCCATAAAATTCTGCATTTGATATTATATGACGCAAAGCACATGGCAAACTTGACTCCATTATATTTCGCATCCCATTAAAATGAGCATGATCTTGTATTGATTTTTTTAAAAAATTCAGCATTGACTTTAATAAAGCTGCTCTCTGAGTTATACATGTCAGTCTTTTGGTAATACTTGATGTTGATACTTCACCAATATTTAAAGATTGTTCTGTTTTGTTTACGATTGATCTCGATGTTATACAGTTTGAAGATGATCCTAATCCATTTTCAAAATTGTCTTTGAGTTCTTTACTATTATTATCAGTAACTAAGCCTTTGCTGTCAGTATTAGTTTCCATGTTTTCCAAATCTATATAAAGAAGAAAACATATATATCATAAATAATATATTAGTTATTCATATTGTTATTCATTTATTTCATTTTTTTTCATTATTTAATATTATTATTATTAAATTCAAATTCAAATAGTTTACCTTTACAAACATTTTTCTTTCTTCACTTATATAATTAAGTTTGTAAATAAAATCCAATATATATGGAAAAAAATTATATGTATTTTGATTTGTATTTGAATGCAATTATGAGCAATTATAGATAGTATTTACTGGACCGTATACTACATAATCTTTCAACCATTGCGGCAACAATAGTTACAGCGTACAATGGTGCGTGACAAACTGATACAAAAATTACATTCATTTGCATTTGGAGCTCTACCTTTAACTTTTGCTCATAAAGTCTACGAATATACGGATATTCGAAGACTCCGGATTTATAAAAAATCCTATTTTATTTTTAACTCCGGATACTTCGTTGCTATCCGTTTAATCGAATAATCGGATAACATTGGTTTTTAAAATATCCAAATAAATAATATGAACAGCACTATCGAACATTATCGAAATACAACAAAATTTTATTTTAATTGATTTTGAATTTTTTGACTTCAAAATGTTTAGAAAGCTTTCATTAATTATTAATTCATTAACAATTTCATTTCTTTATTTATATATAAATAATTCATTCTCTTTCGTATGGGCGGCATTATGAAATTAATACAAATTGTAAGTTACAGCTACAAAAGCAATGCCATACAGATTCGGCATCTTAACTGACAAAGTAATATATAATAAAATAATGCAAATGAGCAACAATAGTGCAGTACAAAGGCGACGTACAGACGCTTAAAGTTGTACCTTCATTTAGCATAACATATGGATTATATGTTATATTACATAAAACATCACTTATAACAATAGAAGAGGGATAGGCATACATATAAAAAAAGATTTACTATCCAAATTATTGAGAAAACATAAAATAACATTTTTGCAGACCATAGAGCTAACTATGCACTTGACTTCTGTGTCCGGATAACGGCGTTGTCCTATTTATAAAGTACCCGGATTAGAAATACATGCTGGTATTTGTAATTATAATACTTATTAAATAAAACAAAAATAACTCTATACCTGTATCAATGGTTTTATAAATTTTGTCTGAGAGGTCATAAAAGAAATCCTCAAACACAGAAAAGCGTCTTAATTTGCTGTTTTTAAATAAATAGCTCGGTTTTCGACTTACATATGGATTTAAAAAAAAATTTCACACAAAAAGTTGCTGAAAGAGGACTCAAAAAATTGTATGCAAAAAATAATAGTTATTTTTGTGTTTTTCGTTAAAAGCAAGTTATTTGCGTGTAGAAAAGTAAAAGGCAAGAAATAATTATTTTCAATAATGTAATATAAAGCAAATTAATTTATAAATTTATAAGTTTTATATTGAAAAGCGAACTATAAAATTTTGCAAATAAGTTTGATGGTCCCTGCGGTATTTCTAATAGCACAGTACAGATATAACTGAAAACTTTTATAGAGAATAAGTCGCCTTACTTAACCTTGCTATTAATTTCAAAAGTACCCACTGCATTACGAATTTGCTTTTGGTAATTCAGCGACTTCGCTGACTTGGTCATGTCATGCGAATGGAAAATACGGTAGAGGGGACGTCTGCATTTTCGGTGAAAAGACCAGATGACCAACGATTTGGTGGAACTCAGTAATAGTAACTAACATCCAACCCACTGATTGGGCTGACTGGTGAAGCTACTTGATGCGGCCAAGAACGACTCACGTCTGTAATAGCTAACTAAGTAAGTCAGGTTATTAATGTAGCTATTATTTAATGCAAATACAATTACTGTGCTTAAAGTCGAAATTAAAAAAATGTACAGAAATAACTTTACTGGTATGAACAAACTAAAGATATTACCAATTTTGTAAAAAACCACGCAGTTTGCAAGCCAGCCTATTCAAACAATGTGTGAGAATCAGGTGTTGACTAAATCAATATCTTTTCCAAATTGTTTTCACAGACATTTCCCATTGTAATGGGTGACGGTTTCTTAGTAATATCAATACTTTGGCTGTTTTGATTTTCGAATATACAATTCATCTACATTTTAGGGAAACGACTCAATCATTAAAGTCACTATTGAATTGACCATTATGATGCATCTAATTTCTCGTTCGATGCAGAATGACTGCGAAACACTACATAGGTAAACGATTAACGACAATATAATTATCGGAAATTCGCGTTTTGTTTTTTTCCCGAAGGTAGTGCTCTTTTTAATGATCTTTTCCATTTTTTTTTTTTTTGCTATTTTTTCGTCGGGGAAAGTGTATTTTTAATGTTATTCTATTGACAAACAAAAAAAAAAAACGATTTGGAAAGATTTTTAATGTGCATTGTTGTTATTTCGATTGCATAAGAAAAAGAAAAATTTTTATTTACATTTGTATTGCATGTGTTTTGTTTGTGTTTTTAAATAAAGATATTTTGTATGCATTTATTGATGCATATTTAATATTAGGGAATGTATTACATAAATGTAATATTTTATTGCGGATGGGTGATTTCTATTATATTTATAAGGTAATAAAAGTCAATAAATAAAAAAGGAATAAAAAGGAATTCTTTTTATGTATTACAGTATAAACAGTTAAAAAATATTTTAGAATTACATATTTCATATAAAAAAAATTAAATTATTGTGTCGGGATATATAGATTTTATTGTAAAATGCATATCAGTTAATATGTTATCCAACCATTTATGTTGGAGAAAATATTATTCGTTAGAACAAATGTTGAATTTAAATACATTTATTATATATATAACAAGAAAATAGTACCTGTAATATATAATGTAATTAAATATGAGTTTTATACTACCAAAATTACAATGTAAATTTTTTGTCAATACAAAAATGTAAAATTTGTTAAAGAATTAGAAATACCACTTTTTGAACCAATTGTATGTGTAAATATATAAATGAAATAAAATTCATAATTTATAATTGAAATATAAATATGACTAGGATTTATTATTTATTGGTTTTACTATGGTCATCCTAATAAGTAAGCCAAAGCTATAAAACAACATATAAACATATAATTTATTTTATATATTACATATATATAACTATATACTATTTTTATATATTACATATATATAACTATATACTATTTTTATACATCACAAATAGTCATAGTTGACTATCAGTTATTATTCTACGGTACCAGATTATTAAAATTGCACACATACATATATTGTTAAACGCTTGTACTTTCTTCATAACAGCACTCGATGGATGCCACGTTTTGCATCTATATAGTAAAACAGATTTCACGCAAAAATTATAAATAAATACTTTTGTATTTTGCTGTAATTTGTTTAATCGAAATACATTGTTGAGCATTTATAATGTAGTATGCGCTTTTTGAATTATATTGTTAACATCAGCTTAAGTACCACCGTTGATATCGATTTTGCTTCCTAGATATTCAAACTGCGAAACGAACGTTTTCAATGTGAATATTGTTAATAATTATAATAGTGTTGTTTTCGATTTTTTGGAAAGCCTCAGAAAAGATGTCAATTTTTCTCTGCAAATCCTGAAGTTTGCTTGCCATAAAAACAACGTCATCTGCATACACGAGTTAACCAAGTTTGGTATTTAGACGCCAATTAATGCCAATAAGACAAGTTCAAGAGCCGTGATGAAGAGTAGTGGTGAGAGGACGCAGCGCTATTTAAAACCACATTGTGTGCTAAAAGCGACACTTATTATTCCCTCGTGTGAGACTTGCATGTTCCTCCCTCATACTTCTTCTTAATTAGTCTTATAATTTTATCCGAAATCCCTCTAGCTTCAAGTGCAAACCATACAAATGCACGCATAATTGCATCAAAAATCTTCTCAAAATCAAGTTGAGTTCGAGCGATTGTTCAATAATGATTCGTATGGTGTTAATATGGTCAACGCAATATGTCTAGGGTATAAAACTAGCTTGGTTTGCATTTATTAAGTTCGTAAGATGCTCCGCTATTCTGTCTAATATAATCTGGTCAAATATTTTTGTAACAGAAGGATATATTCTTAGACTACGCCAATTATTAGTTGTATATCGCCCTTTCTAGGAATTTTAACTATAAGGAACTCTTTCCAGTCGGTTGGAATGTTTTCAGTCGCCCATACTTCACAAAAATGTGGGCACAAAAGAGCTGCTGTATCTTCAAGATTAACTCTGAAGCAATCTGTATGGAGCCAATCACTTCCAGGAGATTTGTTGTTTTTAAGTTTATTAATTACTGTGTGAATTTCTGATACCGTAGGTACATCTAAATTAGTGTAACTATTACAGTTTGTCCTTTTTCGTACATAGAATTCTTCTTCTCGTCAGTATATATATTTAGCGTGCGCTCAAAGTGTAGTTTCCATACATCGGTTTGCTCTTCTTTGCACGTTGTAAGTACACCATTTTCATTAATACTGGTTTAATTTATGTTTTTCTCCCGGCGCTGATATATCTGTTAATGCTGTATAGTTCCCTCATATTGCCTGAGTTTGCTGCTGCTTGAGCTAATTCAGCGAGACAATCATAATAGTTGCTTTTGTCGGTTTTTATTTTCCGTTTAATTTGCTTGATTAGGCTTTGTATTGTATTTTAAGATCTGCATGCTGTGCCTCACAACGCATGCTTAGGAGTTTTTCTTTGACTTTATGTCGGTTTTCTATAGGTTCCCAAGTCGACTGAGAGATTCAGTCGTCTCTACGTGCGTTGTGCGCGTAATCCTAGCACTTTAGCACATGTGTTTTTCAAAGCATTTTGTATGCTACTCCACCCTTGATCAGTAGATTGGTTTTCGAAGACTTCCATATTAGCGTTGATAGAAGCTATTTCGCACGAGAAAATATTTCTATGCTGTTAATTCTTAAGTTTTCCTATATCAACCTTCCTTAAGACAGTTGCCGTTTGTTAATGTTAAGCCACCTATTAATT